ACTATTAACAGATCTAAAGGGAGAAATTAACAGCACCACAACAGTAGGAGGGGACCTCAACACTCCACTTATATCAATGAATAGATCATCCAGACAGAAAGTCAACAAGGAAATAGTGGATTTAAATGAAACACTTGATCAGATGGACTTACTAGATATAGAGAGAGCATTCCATCCAAGAACAGCAGAATGCACATTCTTCTCAAGTGCACATGGAAGATTCTCAAAGACAGACCATATGTTGGGAAACAAGGCCAGCCTCAATAAATTTAAAAAGATTGAAATCATATCAAGCATCTTCTCTGACCACGATGCTATTAAACTGGAAATCAACTACAAGAAAAAGCTGGAAGTCACAAATATGTAGAGACTAAACAATATGCTACTGAACAACCACTGGATCAATGAAGAAATCAAAGGAGACAAAACGCTTCATAACTCATTCTATGAGGCTAACACTACCCTGATACCAAAACCAGGCAAAGACAGTACAAAGAAGGAAAATTACAGGCCAATATCGCTGATGAACATAGACGCAAAAATCCAACAAAATATTGGCAAATCAAACAGCAATACATTAAAAGGATCATACAGCATGAACAAGTGTACAATCATCCTTGGTCATGGTGTATGATCCTGGGATGCAGGGATGGTTCAACATCCACAAATCAATAATGTGATAAACCACATTAACAAAATGAGGAATAAAAATCACATGACCATCTCAATATAAGCAGAGAAAGCATTTGACAAGATACAACATCCATTTATGATAAAAACTCTCAATAAAATGGGTATAAAAAGAAAGTACCTCAACATAATAAAAGCCACATATGACAAACCCACAGCCAACATCATACGTAATGGTGAAAAACTGAAAGCCATCCCTCTGAGAATAGGAACAAGACAAGGGTGCCCATTCTTGCCACTCTTATTCAACACGGTACTGGAGGTTCTGGCCAGAGCAATTAGGCAAGGAAAAGAAATAAAAGGAATCCAAATTGGAAAGTAAGAAATGAAACTCTTGCTGTTTGCAGACGACATGATTGTAAATATAGAAAACCCTAAAGAATCCACTAGAAAACTATTATAAATAATCAAGAACCACAGCAAGGTTGCAGAGTACAAAATCAATTTACAAAAATCTGTTCTATTTCTATACACTAATAACTAACCAGCAAAAAGATAAGTCAAGAATACAATCCTATTTACAACTGCAAAAAAAGAATAAAATATCAAGGAATAAATTTAACCAAGGAGGTGAAAGACATATACAATGGAAACTGTAAGACATTACTGAAAGAAATCAATGATTATATAAAGAAATGGAAAGATATTCCATGTACATGGATTGGAAGAATATACACAGTTAAAATGTCCATATTACCTAAAGCAATCTACAGATTCAATGCAATCCCAATCAGAATCCCAATGACATTCTTCATGGAAATTGAGCAAAGAATCCTAAAATTTATATGGAATAACAAAAAACCTCAAACAGCCAAAGCAGTCCTGAGAAAAAAGAACAAAGTTGGAGGCATCACAATCCCTGACTTCAAAATATACCAGAAAGCTACAGTAATCAAAACAGCATGGTACTGGCAGAAAAACACACACACAGATCAATGGAACAGAATTGAAAGCCCAGAAATAAACCACACATCTACGGACAGATAATCATCCAGAAAGGACCCAAGAACATATAATGGAGAAAGGAAGATCTCTTCAATACATGATTTTGGGAACTCTGGACAGCCACATGCAAAAGAATGATAGCAGACCATTATCCTGCACCATACACAAAAATTAACTCAAAATGGATTAAAGACTTGAATGTAAGACCTGAAACCATAAATCTCCTAGAAGAAAATACAGGTAGTACATTCTTTGACATCAGTCTTAGTATATTTTTGAACATCATTTCTACTCAGGCAAGGGAAACAAAAGAAAAAGCAAATGGGACTACACCAGACTAAAAAGCTTCTGCAAGGCAAAGGAAACCAAGAATGAAACAAAAAAACAATCTACCAACTGGGAGAAAATATCTGCAAATCATATACCCAATGAGGGGTTAATTTCCAAAATATATAAAGAACTCATGCAACTCAACAAGAAAAAGCAAACAACCCGATCAAAAAATGGGCAGAGAATATGAACAGACATTTTTCGAAAGAAGATATACAGATGGCCAACTGGTACATGAAAAGACATTCAACATCACTGATTACTAGAAAAATGCAAATCAAAACTACAATGAGATATCACCTCACACCCATTAGAATTGCTATTATTAAAAAGACAAGAAATAACAAGTGTTGACGAGGATTGTGGAGAAAAGGGAACCCTCATACACTGCTGGTGGCAATGCAAACTGGTGCAGCCAGTATGGAAAACAGTATGGAGATTTCTCAAAAAATTAAAAATAGAAATACCATATGATCCAGCTATCCCACTACTGGGTATTTACTGGTTGATTTCAAAGAAATTGAAATCAACAATTCAAAGAGATTTATGCACCCCCATGTTCATTGCAGCATTAGTCACAACAGCCAAGAAATGGAAGCAACCCAAGTGCCCTTATACAGATGAATGGATAAACAAGATGTGGTATATATATACAATGGAATACTACTCAGCCATAACAAAAGAGAAAGTCATCCCATTTGCAACACCATGGATGGACCTTGAGGGTATGATGTTAAGCAAAATAAGCCAGACAAAGAGAAATACTGCATGATTTCACTCATATGTGGAAGATAAAGAGAACAGATTAGTGGTTGCCAGAGGGGAAGGGGCCTGGGGGGTGGGCAAAAGGGGTAAAGGGGCGCATATGTATGGTGATGGATAAAAATTAGACTACCGGTGGTGAGCACGATGCAGTCTACACAGAAACTGATAGATAATCACGTACACCTGAAATTACACAATGTTATCAACCATTGTGATCTCAATAATTAAAAAAGAAAAAAGAGTAAGTATGAGTACTACCACGACTATCCCTTATTGTTCTGATACAATGAACATCCAATGAGAGAGAAATAAGTAAAAAAAAAATTAGAAAAGTGGTAAAATTATGATTTGAAGGTGATGAACAGCTAAGAAAATCAACTAGAAATTTTTGTAGAATCAATACAAGTTTAAAAAGGTTGCCAACTGAAAACTTAATAAAAATAAGTAGGTTTCCTATACACAAATAACCAATTAGAAAATAATTTCATTCACAATGGGAGCAAAACAAAATACTTAGGAATAAATTTCATAAGAAATTCACATATTCTATACAAAGACAACTAAAACACTAAAGGACATAGAAGTTGACTTGAATAAATAGAACGTACTCTTAGAGAAGAAGACTAAAAATTTAAAGGTGTCAATTCTTTCTGAACTCTGAACGTAGAGATAATTTTACTAAAAATAACTACAGGTTGGCACTAAAAATGACTAAGCTGACACCAAAAAACAAATGTAAAAACTTGCCAGGAGCATTCTAGAAAGAACATCAATGAGGGGATCTTGAACCATACCATAAATTATTTATATAATATTATAGTATTTAAAATTGTTTCATACAGGTAGAGCAATAAACAGATCAATGGAACAGAATACAAAGTTCAGAAATAGACCCAAGTACAAATCAGAATTTGGTACGTTTTATAAAAATGGCATTTCAAATCAGTTGCCTAAGATAAATTTCCTTAATATACACAGAGCTCTTACAAACCAATGAGAAAAAGACCAATAACCTAATAAAAAAATGGGCAAACCATAAGGAGCTGCCACTTTTACCAACATGATTTTGGCTACTGGTATTGTATTAGGGTATGTGGAAACAGGTACTCCTGTTTCTTGGTGGTGTAAGTTTACACTATTTCAGTCTTTTTAGAGGTTATCTGGCAACATCAAATTTCAAATGCTTTCCAACAATTCCACCTTGATCAATTATCTTACAGGAATATTCACATATGTAAACAAAGATGTACCTACCAAATTATTCTTTCCAATACTGTTTATAATCATGAAAGGCTAGAAAAAAATCTAAAGGTCCATGTATAAGAAATTGGTCATATAATACTGTGATACATATACGTACATACATATATATATATGTATATATATAAATAGTATGCAGGTATAGCTATACACACTGTTTTAGAATGATCTTCAAGATTTACTATTGAGGAGACTTACTTTTCATTGTATTCTCCTTAGGCATTGCTGAATTTTAATTTTTTTAAACATGGGTATATACTACTTTTTCAAATACAAAAATCAGTTTAAAAAGAGAATGTTTTTACACAACAGAGTTAAAAGGCAAAGAAACTTATAAATTATAGTTTTGTATTCTGTAATATAATTATAAGGAAGAAATAAAATGAAACATTTTACATAAACAAGCTGAAGTCAGAGCTACTACTATTTCTCTTTTAAATGAATGAAGTAAAAACTAAAAGTAAATTAAAAATAAAAATGAAGTAAAATTTCAACTTTAATAACTGAGGCAACCCATTTTGTAATGCTCTTGATGTGTCAATGTGAGATGTATTCTCGCATAACTGGACAGAATTACCTAGAACACATTCTTCAACCTATGATTTTCCTTCTTGTAAAATATTAAATAAACTAGTTTAATTAGATAATTAACAGGTTTATCTTACTGTCTTTTTTTCAACAAAATTTGAAACATGGAAAAGATAAAGCATATAAAATAGAAAAAGCTGCTATACGTAGTATACTTAGAATCAAAACTCTTATGCTCTGTTTGTGTGATCAAAATAGAGAAAAAACTGAAGAAATTTCTAACATCAATTATTTTACCGTAGATTTAAACAATGTGCCTTTAACTCTTTTTTCTTGGCCATGGCAGCTTTTAAGAAAATACTTTTAAACAGAGATAGAAATTTGAATAAATCAAATTAGTCAGATTACGGCAATTTTTATATGGACATAAGACTTTAATTATCCTATTTTCTGACTGCCTTAAAGAAGAAGAGAGAAGTTACCTGAAGTTGATGGACAAATCCAGCATTAGGATTAATACAAAATCTTCTTTCTTGAACATAAGCAAATGCATCTCTGAAAACAGAAAAAGAAAACCAAGGCAATGGTGTTATTTCATGAATCTCAATTTTTCCAGAATTTATCTAAAATAGGAACTTATCTAAAAATTTACCTAAAATAGGAAATCATAATCATACAGCTTATATTACAGAGGGGTAGTGAGTTGTCATGGAAAAATCGACAGCATGGTCAGACTAAATCCCTCTGCTCACCAGCTCTCAACTTCTCTAAGCTTTTTCTCATCTGTAAATTGGGAATTATAATAATTCCTACCTTGGAGGGCTATTGTGAAGACGGGAAAAATTAAGTGTACAGCACCTTGTATGGCATCTGTCACACAGTACATGCTCAAAGTATTATCACTGGTGAAATGAGGGGAAGTATATCTACTGCTTTCTGTTGTTATGAGGCTTAAATGAGATAGAAGTGCCTAGAATAGTACCCAGTAAATGGAAGTTATTTTCACTATTAATATTATTACTGACAAGACACTAAGTAATAAAGAGAATATATAAAACATAAAGTCTACCAAGCGTTAATCTTTTTCAATTAAGTAAACAAGGCATTTATATTCAAATAATATTCCTTTAAGAATTGATACTTTTAAGCAAACTTTTCCATTATAATTTAAACATAAAGGATACCAAACAAACTAAACAAGAACTGCAATGTCTACTATGTACCAGGCATGTGGATCTAATGGTAAACATAGCTCAAGTGTCGAGAGTAATGGGGAACATGGTATAAGAATGGAGAGGTTTATAGGGGTATGTCATGCAAAGTTTCATTGGTCATGTTAAGAACTACTAAAGATCAGAAACTTTTGAGATCTTTTTAGGGTATGGTGATATATGATTGCATTTATCTTTTGAAAAGATCATTCCAACGGTAGTGTGGAGAATAGAACAGACTTGAGAAGGAAAAAATGCATGAGACCACTAAGAAGGCTACTACTGGAAGAGCCCAAGGGAGACATGATTGGAGCTTAGATAAGGGGGATTAAATGATGACGAAGAGAAAGATAAAAAAGACATACTCAAGGTATATTTTACAACATAAAACAGACAGGATTTGGTAATGCATCAGTTTGGGAATGAGGAGTGAAAGAGAAGGAGGTGTCAATGATTACAACAAGATTTCTAACTTGGACAATGAGATACCCTAAGAAAGGAAACACTGGCCGGGTTTTTGTTTTGTTTTTGGGTGAGAAGCTCACGAGCCTCTCTCCCTTTTTTTTATCTATGCAGTATGCTTGGAAAAGATGATTCTTGATAATCACTGAATTGTAAATTGAAATAAAAGAATTTCGAGGTAATTTTTCATCCAACTACTATTAAAGGAAAACAATAAATTTGCCTTTTAAACAAGGCAAGCAATAACACCTGTGTCTAAGAATTTTTAAACTCCAATTAATCAATTCCCTAGTAGTAAGTATGTAGTTTTCCATGGGTTATTCCCACTACAACTACCTCGGCTTCTTAAAATAACAAGAGTAGCTCCCCCAAACCACAAAATATTAGCGTAAGCAAATGTATACAAGGTAGAAAAGCTACAAAAGTTAAGAGACTAATCATGGGATGTAAGAGTCTGGCTAATCAAAAATGATTAAATGACTAAATCAGGAGAATATTAACTTCAAACTCCCAAATTGTCTCCATTAACTCATTTTAATGAGAATTTAAACTGTGGCTAGGTTTCAGGGTACTTTCTTACCTGTACTTCACTCCAAATGTTTCCATAATGTATGCAATAACAAAGGCAGCACTGAAGAGGGGGAAAAAATTTTAGAAAATAACAGAAAATACAACTCATTAATTAAATTCTAGAGAAAGAAAGATTATCTCTTAATTCATACCTCCTGGAGATTCCTGCATTTCCATGGACAAGAACTTTTCCTGAAAAACAAGAAATAGTTATTCTGATAGAAAAACATCTGATTCAGCAGCTAAAATATATTGAAACTATGTATCACCCTATAGTAAAATAAATCTTTTCTTAAACATTTTATATTTTACACATACAACTTGGATATTTATTAATTTTCAAATCTTTACAATTTATTTATACTGTGTAGAAAATACAACAGACTTATAGGTTAAAGAGATTTAAAGGTGACCCAGAATTTGAAAATAGTTCTATAGGCATAGTCACGAAAGCCTATCCAAATGAAACAAGAAGTTGAGAAAAGGCAAATCTTAGAATAGCCTATTATATATAATTACAACTTCCATATCCTGCATTTAAGATAAATATTAAGTAAAAAATTAACTATAACAATCTCCTAAAAATAAATATTAGCTAAGTAAAGGAAGTATTATTTACCTCCAGTTTGTAAGCTCCCATCAATAAATTCTTTAGTCTGAAGGCAAAAGACAATGCGTTATAATAAAACATGTAGATTAACATAAGCATAAAATACATATATAGTGAAATAAAATATACTGAAAATAATTTTATGCTAATTTACAATAAAAATTACCTTAATTAAGGAATTTCCAAAATGCTACATATGCAACTATATAACAAGTTCAAAAAATTATAGGAGCTAAAATTTAATTTGAATTTAATAAATTCAAAGTATGATTTCTCAAATATTTGGAGATCATAAAAAGGTTTTAAAAATAATAAATTTCCTTTAAACTATAATCCCACAATTTTCAGTCATAACAAAGTAAAAGCAGGATAGGGAATCATGGGGAATTATGAGGGAATTATGTTTCATTATCATTAAGTTTCAGAACCACAATTAAGAGGTCAAATCATAAATAAATTTTGAATGACATTAAAATATTGATACTTACCACAGGGAAAAAACGTATTATATTTTCAACTGGATTATCTGCAATATCCAACACCAAATACCTGAAAATAGAATATTTTGTGATAAGCACACTTTCAGATAAAACTCTCTTTATGTATAAGAAACTTGAAAATTTTTGGGAACCATGAAAAGAATTCGGAAAAACTTTCAAGGTAACATATTCCCAAGAACAGGGTCATAGATTTTATATTGTTTGAAGCCATGGCATTAAAGTCTCAAATAACATGTTAACATTTCTCTGATATTTTAGTATAATAACTCTATCTGGTTAAAATAGAAAAATCACAAGCAGGAAGAAACCTTTCTCTAGATCACAATGGACCTAGAAAATAAAGACAAAAAGTGCCTGTATTCCTTATTGTTATTCTTCTATTTCTACTAACTTCCCCAGGACCAGTAGATTCTTCTCTGAGTGGCCCTGTGACTCCCTCCTCACAACCCTACATAGGAAAATTCAGAGGAAGTCCCAAGTCTGACAGAGAAGGAGCTAATCAAAATAGAAGCCATGAGTCAAACATTCATTGTTTGAACTAACCTTCAGTAGAGCAGAAAACAGCCAAGAGACCACCTGTCCTGGAATTTTACAGTTTGGAAAACATTTAAAATAAGGCATTATTAATATGCCAGGCTTATTTAATTTTGTGAAAAACTTCCATTTCTAACCTATCCAAGACTACCTGTCTTTTAACACAACTATAGGTAAAGTTATGATATTAATTATTAAAGTCAATATTGCTTTAAGAATTACAGTGCAGGTCGGCCCCGTGGCTTAGCAGTTAAATGCGCGCGCTCCGCTACTGGTAGCCCGGGTTCGGATCCCGGGCGCACACCAACGCACTGCTTCTCCGGCCATGCTGAGGCCGAGTCCCACATACAGCAACTAGAAGGATGTGCAACTATAACATACAGCTATCTACTGGGGCTTTGGGGAGATAAAAAAAGGAGGAGGATTGGCAATAGATGTTAGCTCAGAGCCGGTCTTCCTCAGCAAAAAGAGGAGGATTGGTATGGATGTCAGCTCAGGGCTGATCTTCCTCACAAAAAAAAAAAAAAAAGAATTACAGTGCTTTAATGATTATTTAGGTGGTAACAACGTCAAATTCAGGGCTTATCACAGAGAAGTTGAAGCTCAGGATCCAAGGATAATCCAATGTAAGAACTGTAAGAATTCTGACAACAACCGTACCCTAAAGTGGAATGTAAACCGAAACAACTCACTGGAGGGCAATCTGCAACATCTATTAAAATTTTAAATGCTCACATTCTTTGATCCAGCAATTCCACTTCTACAAATTTATCCTATTGATATATTCACATACGAATTAACAGGGATACTCACTATATTAGCAAAAATCTGCAACCAATCTAAATGTCCAAAAAGAGGAGATGTGTTGAATAAATTTTAGTATAACTATACAATGGATTACTACGAACTTAAAAAGCATAATGCAGCTTTCTAAGTAATAATATGAAGCAATCTCCAAAAAATGTAACAATTTTTTTAAAAGCCAGTGTGAAAAATACAACTTTATCTGTAGGAATATGCTTGTAGATGTAATATAACTCTGGAAGAAGTAACAATGGACACCTCTAGGGAGGGGACACGAATAGGGAAACCTACTTTTCAGTATACATTCTTTTGAAACTTTAGAATTCTGCATTATGCGCAAGAATTACTTAAAATATCTTAAAAGAAATTTATTTTTTAAATGATGTACTATAAGATTCAACTTGAAATAAAAACATTACATGTTTGCTACCCTTAATTTTTATAAATCACAGCAATGATTCTTACCTAAATAACTGTTGAAAGTTTGGTTTAATAAAGTTTGCTTCAATATTTTGTCTTATGCATATTATATGGGTTATTCCATGTTTCTGTAGTATAGGTAGCTATAAAAAAAAAAGGGGGAAAGCAGGAGAGAGAAATAGTTTAAAATACAAAACACTATCTTACCGTAATACAGATGTTTGAAAATACACAGGACTCAACATTAGAATTAATATAGCCATATCTGAGCCTCAAGTACAGGAAATTAAAGCTAATTTTGTAATAATATACCTGAAGTGATCAGCACGATACTTCAATGATTCAAGGTTAATACACTACATGTCCTCAAAAAACTAAGGATTATTTTACATCTATAATTTTAGAGCTTGATGGGATAAGATAATTTATTTGGGAAACATACTATATAGTGGTTAAAGGCATGGGCTTTGGAGTATGAGAGCCCAAGCTCTATATCCCAGCTCTGCTAATGACCTGAGCGCTACTGCCCAGTTTTCTCATGTGAAAATGGGGAAAACACTATCTAGTCACTGAGTGGTTGTGAGAATTATATAAAATAATACAATGATCCCCCCTAATCCACGGTTTCACTCTCTGGAGTTTCAGTTACCCACAGTCAACCAAGGTCCAATATATTAAATGGAAAATTACAGAAATAAACAATTCACAAGTTTTAAATCAGGTGCCATTCTGAGTAGTGTGATGAAGTCTTAAGCCACCCTACTCCGTCCCACCCAGGACGTGAACCATCCCTTTGTCCAGCGTATCCAGCTGTATACACTACCACCTGTTAGTACTTAGCAGCCGTCTGGGTTATCAGATCAACTGTCATGGTATCACAGTGCTTGTGTTCAAATTACTCTTGTTTTACTTAATACAGGCATACCATGGAGCATCGTGGGTTGGGTTCCAGACCACGCAATAAAGAGAATATCACAATAAAGTGAGTCACATGAATTTTTTGGTTTTTCAGTGCATATAAAAGTCATGTTTACACTATACTGTAGTCCAGTAAGTGTGCAATAGCATTATGCCTAAAAAAACAACATATATACCTTAATTTAAAAATAGTTTCTCGCTAAAAAATGCTAACCATCATCCAAGCCTTCAACAAGTCGTAATCTTTTTGCTGGTGGAGGGTCTTATAAAAAACACATTATGTTCAAAGTGCAATAAAATGAGGTACACCTGTTAATGGCCCTGAAGTGCGAGAGCAGTGATGCCAGCAATTTAGATCTGCCAAAGATAAGCCATAAAATGCTTCCTTGAAGAGAAAAGGTGAAAGTTCTCGACTTAATAAGGAAAGAAAAAAAATTGTATGCTGAGGTTGCTAAGATCTACAGTAACTTTTATTACAGTATATTGCTTATCATTGTTTTATTATTATTGTTAATCTCTTACTGTCTCTAATTTATAAATTAAACTTTATTATAGGTATGGACATATAGGACAAAACATAGTATATATAGAGTTTGGTACTACCCATGGTTTCAGGCATCCACTGGGGGTCTTGGAACCTACACCCGGAGGATAAGGGGGGACTACTGTATATGTAAGGTGTTTGGCATAGTGCCTGGGACACATGGCAAGTGTTTAGTAAATGGTAGTTACATATATTGACTACAATCTTCATTCCTTAGAGGGGACTACTAAGACATAAACAATTGTTCAACATCACTGACCTAGTTAATAGCAGTACCAAAGCCCAAATCTCTCGACTACTCCCTGCCTCTCCCAGTACACTTTTTCTACTACAAACCAGAATTAATTTATACAATTCACGGAATCTAATTAACCTTTCATGGTTTAAAATTCCCTAAAGTTGGGCCGGCCCCGTGTCTTAGCGGTTAAGTGCGTGCGCTCCGCTGCCGGCGGCCCGGGATCGGATCCCGGGTGCGCACCGAGGCACCACTCCTCCAGCCATGCTGAGGCCGCGTCCCACATACAGCAACTAGAAGGATGTGCAGCTATGACAGACAACTATGTACTGGGGCTTTGGGGGAAAAATAAATAAATAAAATCTTTAAAAAAAAATAAATAAATAAAAATAAAATAAAATAAAATAAAATTCCCTAAAGTTAAAACTGGCAACTCCAAATGATATCTTATTATATTCTGTGGTGCTTTTTTGGCTCTATATTTAAAGCAATTTAACATGACAACTCTAGAAATTATTAAATAAATTTTTATTTGCAAGTGATTATAGGTTTCAGTGAATTTACAGATAACATGTTATTTTAGTAGTTAGAATGTAAATTCCAGGGGGCCGGCCCTGTGCCACAGCAATTAAGTACACGCACTCCACTGCTGGCCGCCCCGGTTCGGATCCAGGGCCGACGCGCCACATGTCAGGCCACGCTGTGGCGGTGTCCCATATAAAGTGGAGGATGACAGGCACAGATGTTAGCCCAGGGCCAGTCTTCCTCAGCAAAAAGAGGAGGATTGGCATGGATGTTAGCTCAGGGCTGATCTTCCTCACAGGGAAAAAACAAAAAAAAGAATGCAGGGGCCAGCTGGGTGGCGCAAGCAGTTAAGAGCACGCGCTCTGCTGTGGCGGCCCAGGGTTCGCCAGTTCGGATCCCGGGCATGCACCAACGCACTGCTTGTCAGGCCATGCTGTGGTGGCGTCCTGTATAAAGCGGAGGAAGATGGGCAGAGATGTTAGCCCAGGGCCAGTCTTCCTCAGCAAAAAGAGGAGGATTGGCAGATGTTAGCACAGGGCTGACCCCCTCACAAAAAAAAAAAAGCAAATTCCATGAGAACAAGGATTTCATTTGTTCACTGATTCACATTAAGTACGTGTAACAGTGCCTGGAGCATGGTAGGTGTTCCATAAATGAATTAACAACTCACGCTGGCAGGAGGAAGCAGAATTAATAATCTCAAGTTTATGATATTTTCAGCTCATAATCCTATATGTTTAATTCTCACTTTCTGCATTAAACAGTCCAGAACAGTAATACTAATAATTCATGAGAAAAGTCAAAGAATAATTTATATTTGTTATGGACTGAATGTTTGTCTCTTCCCCAAAGTTGGCCTTTGGGAGGTAATAAGATAGATTTAGATGAGGTCATGAGGGTGGAGCCCCCATGATGGAATTAGTGCCCTTATAAGAAGAAGAAGAGACATCAGAGCTTCCTCTCTCCACGACCTGAGGACACAGCAAGAAGGTAGCAGTCTGCAAGCCAGGAATAGGGCCCTTACCCAAATGTAATCATGCTGGCAGCCTGATCTCAGACATCCCAGTCTCTAGAACTGTGAGAAATAAATGTCTGCTGTTGAAGCCATCCGGTGTATGGTATTTTATTTTAGCAGCCTGAGCTAAGAAAATATAGTTCTCAAAGTTTTAAATATTAAATGTTTCTGCAGCAATTTTTCCTATGTCTGGCATAGATTAGAGTTCAATTACCTTTGTATTTCCTGAGTACATCCTAACTTGAGTTAAGGGAAGGGAGGTAAGCATTTGGAAGGATTAATAATTAATCAATGTTCCATATTCACACTTATCAAACCTCCAAAAGGAATTCAACATTCATTCCTTTGTTTACATTTGATCTATGATATATGAATAAGTTTTCCTACCTACTTTATTAAGGTGAGAAACTATTAGATACATAATCCCGGATAAAAATCTGTTTTAATAAGCTTTGAAGGTACCTTATACTATTACTAAGTAAAAATGAACCTTAATAAAATAGAACCCAGGGCCGGCCCCATGGCTTAGCGGTTAAGTGCGTGCGCTCCGCTGCTGGCGGCCTGGGTTCGGATCCCGGGCGTGCACCGACGCACCTCTTCTCCGGCCATGCTGAGGCCGTGTCCCACATGCAGCAACTAGAAGGATGTGCAGCTATGACATACAACTATCTACTGGGGCTTTGGGGGGAAAAATAAATAAATAAACCTTTTAAAAAAAAAATAAATAAAAAATAAAATAGAACCCAAATATTAATTGCAAACACAATATTTTTAATTTTCAATATAAATCAAATTACAACCTTATCTCACACCTACAAACAGAAAAATTTTACAAAAAGAAATAGTTTATTAGTTATAAACAGCCTAAATCTGTCCCTTTTATTAAAAACATATTTGAAGGTAATAAGAGATAGGTTTAACTAAATGAGTCTTAGAAAAGGAGTTTATTCCCCAAAGTTTCTTTATCTCTAGTATTATTATTTGTTGTTGTTGTTACATACTTTTTGGATGATGGTACAAAAAGAAATATGAGCTGTACTATGGTGACTCAGGGTGGGAAATAATCAAATTCTGCCATAGAGGCTTTTCCTCAGTGTAATAAGACCATGGGGAAATTGAGGGGCAAGAGGTTTTAAGGAGCTAGATCTGTAAACAAATACTTATAATTTAATGTGACAAACAAAGTGCAGTGGGAATACAAAAAGCAAATAATTCTAAAACCATTTTGAAAGCAGGCATTTTGTAAATACTACATTATTTGGGCAATAACTTGCTTAGGTTTGTCTTTACAAAGTAAGTCACAGTTAAGTCTATAGTTATCTATCCTATCCTTTCCTTGGAATTTTTTTTTTTTTAACCAATACCTCATCTTTCCAACTAGCTATACGGCCGTCAAAATGACTAGGATTACTCTTAGGTAGGCCTCAAAAAGCCTTCCAGTTTCAAAAGGAATGACTCTAAAAAACTCCCAATCATGTAAAATTCATAAATATATTAAATTATATCATGAAAGTTTAAAATTATACAGTGTTTACAAAACCTACTATAGGTAGCTATCATAAAGAAGAATACCGCCTTCTAAATAGGCAGGTACTGGGGAAAACATTTGTGATACAAAGTTTCATATTATAAATCAAAGAGAATTAGCAGCATTGTCATAATTCATAGGGCTGAATCCTCTAAGAAATGGCAACATTGCTATATATATTAAAATGAGATTTACCCTTTCAACTGTGTAACTGAAGAAATCCATTTCAGTTTGACTATAAAGGACATCTATCTATCTATCTATCTATCTATCTATCTATCTATCTATCATGCAATACTTTATAACCTGGAGCATCCAGAGCTCTCAAGTCTGGAAAACCAGAAATAGGATTTGAGTCACTTCAATGAAAACACACACATGTGCACGCACATACTTTTAACCCTGATAAGGAAAGGTAAACTAAAATGTCAAATATCCTTATTTTGGGCTTTAATTGTATCTCATATTGTTCAGAAGGTATGATTAGCAATTACAGATGTTTAATGTTTTAGAGAGCAAATAGATTATTAAATAAAGGTCAATTATTTGGTAAATCTTTCAAACAGAGATTTCGTGAGAAAAATAAAATATAAAAACTCATCTGTGCTTTGTGGTGAAACACTTGAGAATGACTCGTGCAGTAAAATTTGCAAAGAGCTTAGGTACTCAAAAGTGACAATTACCATTAACACACAATATTTGTGGATCCTCCCTCAAATAAAACTCCTACTACTAAAGAAATTTACTCCAAAAAAGTTGGTTAATAAAATCTCTTGATGAACCTAACCTAAAGTTCATACCTTGCTTTTCATAGCAGAAGAATATGGGCCTAAAAACAATCCAGGTAAAATTTCCTAGAAAAAAAAAGTTGAGTTATTTACCATCAGCAATTTAAACCTATACAAAATATGTACCATATAAGTGAATCTGTGAGGTGTTTTCATAGTTGTAATAATTTGCTAATGAGCTTATTATTTAGGGAGCATTTCCTAGCCACATTCAGCAGAAATGCAGATGTGCTCTATATATCAAAGAGACATTCAAACTTTAAATACAGTCCTGAAAAGTCAGATATTTGAACTTCCACAGTGCTTTTTATAAGCAGTTTGGGTAAAATTAGTACAATGTATTATGGTCTTTCAGATTAGTAAAACGTCTCTAATTTTACTTCTATTCTCTGCTGTGGTCTAGAAACAGGCATAAAGAAAATCAACCCTTTGGAATTACATGAAACCTTATTCAGCCAAATCAAAAGTAGCACAAGATACAACAAGATTAGAACTATTACCGACAGTTAATAGTAGAAGTAAAGTATTATTGCAAACGTAAAAAAAAAGACCAATACCAAATGTTGGCCTACTGAAAGAGTTTCAACAATATAGATAAATACCTTCCTAATGCTGAATTAAAATTTTTTCTATATGAATTCAATATAGAAAGCTTTCAGTCAGGCTACATCATACCCTAGAGTGTAATTTGTAGTTCAACTGTATGGGACATTATAATTATTTGTGTATAGGTCTGATTTCTCCAAGCAGTTTCTTGTGGGCAGAAATTAAATTTCACTCATCTTTGCATTCCCCATAGCACCAAGAAAATGCCTCAGACGTAATCACATACTTTTAAAAAGTAAATTTTCACTAAGAGAAGTCAAGGGTTTCCCAGGAATGGGAGACACTGCTTGATCCTGAGGCTAGCAGAGTTGACTGCAAATGGTAAGAAATGCAAAGGAAAAACGAACTGCTATAAGGGTTAGCTATCACTTTAATTCATTCCATACTGAGAGTATTCAACTCAGTCTTCTGGAGGACTTCATTATGAGGGCTGATTGGAAATCAGACACAAAGATGAACAATTATCGAAAAGAGTGATTTTTCTTTATGGTCAACTCTCTTGAACTTATATACTAGACAAACACAAAATTCAAACTGCTTTCAAAACAAATACAAATATTGTACGTGTACCTAATTTTTCAGATGAGGAAAAGCAAAGTGACTCATTAAGTACATGTAGATATTACTATGTCCTTCTAATCCAAGGAAGAAAGGCAACAATTCATTTCCCACTTTTTAAGATCCATGATTAACCTTAAATATCTTATTATTTAAAATACTTAGTGATGAACCTACAGCTCATGAGTCAACAGATCTCAAGTCCTTTGTGAAGTTATTTAATAAGGATAATAATAATATGGGCTGGCTTGAATAAACAAAAAGGTTGTCATACCTGCATCTCTCGTCTCATAGGGTAGGTCCACTCCTTAGAAATGGAAGGAAAACACAAGAATAAAAGTAAATAACGTTATGAAAAATGTCACCCAATTAAAGGTTAAAGATGGGACATACAAGTATGTGAATTTTTAAAAAATAAATTATACTTTAAGAATATTCTATAAAAAAAGCAGATTCAAGTGGCTTCACAAACACCTAAAAATTTAAGTGACAAGAAACAATGATTAACTGGACTTCCAAAATTATGATTATGTTACTTCATAAAATGGATGGAATAGCTCATTAATTATAAGACTAGATATTCCAGAAGTTTCTCCCAAAAACTGATCCTCTAAATCAGAGATGTCAAAAAGACTTTTTGTTGTTCACGCCAACTTTAATCAACTGGCAGCAGATAGCTAAAACACTGTGTGGAGAAAGACTCAGGAACACAAGAGTGCTGTGATCAATAAGCAATATTTGTAATGGATGAAAGAATGTTATGTGATAGGTATTTGCCATCCCTGATCTAAACTTTCAGATAAATATCAAACAACCTTTTCCCTATTTTACTTGGGTGCAAGATTCTGTCTACTTCAATTCCTTTTAAAGATATATTTCGGGCCAGCCCCGTGGCTTAGCGGTTAAGTGCGCGCGCTCCGCTGCTGGCAGCCCGGGGTTCAGATCCCGGGCGCGCACCGACGCACCACTTCTCCGGCCATGCTGAGGCTACGTCCCACATACAGCAACTAGAAGGATGTGCAGCTATGACATACAACTATCTACTGGGGCTTTGTGGGGGGAAATAAATAAATAAATAAAATTATAAAAAAAAAATTTCACCATATTATAAACTATTATGACATCAATAAACAAATTTAAAAAACAAACAAAAAACAACTCATCTCATCCCCACAGAAATGAGTACTTTTGCCTTTCTTCGTTTAGCTCTGAGTAGAAGGTGGTGGTAGTGGTGGGATGGGGTCTTCCTAACCAGAATCTGGCCTTCACTCTAGTTTGGCATTAGAATTCAATTATCTCTGTGAGGCTAAGTGAAAATTTAATGTCAAGTGGTTCCGGGTAGATAGTGTCTGTGGGTTCCTGGGAGAAGCAAATACATTTTCTCTCTGGAGGAACATACCCTAAACCTAGATGAGAAATAACTCACACAGATATGTTCCAATGAGCTCACAATAAAAAAGCAATTAAAAAAAAGAGGAAAGAGCCACCATGAAAAGCAGATACAACTGAATCACATTCACTAAGACTGCATATACTACAACAATGAAAAGTATAACACATTTAATATATTTAAAGAAATAAGAGAGTATCAAAAGTATGACCAAGGATTAAGAAACTGATTTTTAAGAGAGCCAAAAGGAATATGTAGAAATGAAAAAGTACAATTAAAATTAAAAATCAGTGGATAGGCTAAACAGAAGAAAGGACACAGTTAAGGAGAGAATTTGTGAACTAGAAAACAGAACTGAAGACATGACCTAAATTCAGAGTTGGAAAATATGAGCAGTTAACAGACATATTAAGATAGAATTAAAAGGTCTAACATCCATAGAATCTAAGTTCCAGAAGGAGGGGAGAGATAATATTATACAAGATATTAATGAGAATTTTCCAAAACTGGTTAAAGATACAATACTTCGGACATAGGCAGCCCAATAAATCCCAAGCAGCATAAGGGAAAGAAATGCACATGTAAACAGTGAAACAGCAGCACATCTAACACAGAGAGAAGAATGCATTTGCCAGACTAAAAGCAAATACAAAAATGAAAAAGAATAGTCCAGAAAGACCTACACATATGCAGTCAATTAATTTTCCTGAAAGACACCAGGGCAATTCAATGGAGAAATAAAAGTCAACAAGTGGTGCTGGAACAACTGGATAAATGTCTGGAAAATAAAATGAATCTATTGGGCCGGCTCCGTGGCTTAGCGGTTAAGTGCGCGCGCTCTGATGCTGGCGGCCCGGGTTCGGATCCCGGGCAAGCCCCAAGGCGCCACTTCTCCGTCCAACGCGAGGCCGAGTCCCACGTGCAGCAACTAGAAGGATGTGAACCTATGACATACAACTATCTACTGGGGCTTTGGGGGGAAAAAATGAATAAATAAAATCTTAAAAAAAAAAAAATAAAATGAATCTTTATCCTCATCCCATCCCTGCCCACACACAAATGTCTTGTCTGTCTTCACTGCTGTATCTATTTCCAATACTTGATGACATTGCCTGGCACACAGTAGACACTCAATAATTACTTGTTGAATGAATGAAAAAAAAGTATGTATGTGTATAAACAAATGCAAAAATGATAAAACTTCTAGAAGAAAACAGAGGAGAATATCTTTGCAACCTTGGGAAAAGCAAAGATGTCTTAGAGGGCAAAAAAAGTGCTAAGCCTAAAGGAAAATAATTTGATAAATTAGATGTCATGAAAATTTAAAACTTCCACTCAATGAAATATACTGCTAAGAAAATGTAAAAAGCAAGCCACAAGCTGGAAGAAAATATTTCTAATACATATATCCAACAAAAGACTTGTATCCAAAATACATAAATACACATCATGAGTAAAGTGACAACTCAATTTTTAAAACCGGCAAAGAACTGAACAGACATGCCACCATGGAAGATACATAAATGGCCAATAGCACATGAGAAGGTGCTCAACATCATTAGTCATAAGGGAAATTTAAATTAAAAGATACCACTACATGTTTCACTCCTAGAATTTACCAAAGAGAAATGAAAACATACGTCCACAAAAAGACTTGTACGGGAATATTTAAAGCAGCTTTATTCATCATAACCCTAAATCTAATGTCTATCCACAGTATATTCACACAATGAAATAGCAGTCAGCAATAAAAAAGAATCAACCACTCAAACACCACAATATAGATGAATTTCACATATATATGTTCAGTGAAAGAAGCCATAAACAAAAGAGTCCATTTTGCCTGATTCCATTTATATGAAGTTCAAGAACAGATAAAACTAACCTATGGTTAGAGAAATCATCATATTCGTTGCCTATTTGGGTAGGGTAGGGAATGCCTGGAAATGGATATGAGATAACTTGCTCTGTTGATAGAAATGGTCTATATCTTGAAAGGAGAAGTAGTTACACTGGTATATGTATTTATCAAAACTCATTGAACAGTGCACTTTGTATATCTGTGCATTACACTCTATGTAAATTTTATCTCTATTAGAAAAAAGATACCATCCAGACAAAAAAGACAGATTACATACAAAGGAAAGACAATTAGACTGACTCTGACTCCTCAACTGCAAGAATAGGAGCCAGAAGACAGAGCAATAATACATTCAAAGTGGTGAAATAAATAACTGTTAATCTAGAATATATGCTCAGAAAATCATCTTTCAAGAAGAGTGAAATAAAAGACGATTCCATACAAACAAAAACAGAAAGTTTACTACCAGCAGACTCTTATTAAAGAAACTTCTAAAAGATGTTTTTTGAAGAAAAGGTACTATTTGTCTCTATTTTACATTTCTATTTTACAGAAAGTCTAAGTAACTTAACTTCGAGTCCCAGTAGCCTGATTCCAGAGTCTATTCTCTCACTCACTACATTATGAGTAAGAGAACCATATGGCAAATATATAGTTATATTTAAACAAATATTGACCACATAAAATAAGAATCATGATTAATTTATAGGGATTAATAGAATAGAAATAAAGTGTATAATTCCCAAGCCAGTAGAGGGGGAAATGTAATCAAACTGTAAAAACTAAATGTTCACCTGCTTCTTTTATTTATCAATACGTTATAAGCTTTTTACACTGAAATGTTTTTAAAAAACTTAGACCAAAGACTCTGTCATTTTAGTCACTCTGCCCCAACATTGAGCATAACACATCCCATGGAACAGGCACACAATAGACGTGCATTACGGAGATCCATGGCACTAGATTCTATGGATCTTTCTTTTTTTCTTGTCTTTCTTTTTTTAAAAAAAATTCTCTGGTAATCTAACAGACAGCCTTATCTTCCTGAAGCAAATTGTCAGAGCTGTGAGAAAGAAGAAAAGCAATTAAAGAAATGTGTACTGTTGAGTGTACCTAAAATGAAATCTCTACATTGTGGGTGATAAAAGAAGAAAAACAGGGGAACATATACATAAACAGGGGTACATATATTCCAGAGAATACTTGGCAATCTGCCAGAAGGCACTCACAGCCACAAGATAAGCATGTGCTTCTTTCTGGAATATCAATTTTACCAAAAGACTTATTTTTGGAGAAAAAAAATATTTTCATTGGCCACTACTTAAAGGCATTTTTATATTAAAACAAACATGAACATATGGGATAGAATGCAAAATTTACCTGAATTTTTCAATGAAACAAGAGGCTTCAGAGAAATTTTGAACTTCCCATAAGGTTGTATGCAATAGAACATGCATGCCATATTTATATAAGAAAGATATTATGGGAGGAAAAAGTAAGTTGTATAGCAGAGAGAATAAAAAATTATTCCTATTCACAGGACAGATAAGTATGCGGCCTACTTTAGTGAGTATCAGACTTGCTGTAATAAGATTTCAAGGATCTCCTGAAATCTAGAAAACTTTCTCTCACAGAAAATTTTATTTGGAACTATCCTGGTGCTAGCTAGCATCAGATCCCAGGCTCAAGAGTCCACCCTCTTTGTTTACCTAGCCCTGATTTCTACCTACAGAACAAATCTTAAACCTGCCTTGTCTACCAACTCTGCTAATGCCTTTAGCATACTACATCAAGATTTTAAAAGTCACTCATGCTCAGTCTTGCTCTACCAGACATCCATCTGAACATGTCTCTAACAACCAAGTCTTGCCTGTATCACACTCAGTTTTAATATCAGCCTGCCCACGCTGCTCCTAAAATCCATCACTTCAGAGATGGTAGTAATAGGGCAGACTCCCAATAAAACTGCCAAAGATCTATTGTGAGTCACTACTGTAGTTAATTAGTAGTATCAATTTCCAAAACTTTGATACTTAGCCAAGCAGTCCAACTATAT